AAATTACCTACCCCACCTTTAACCATGCTTTTCTACAGTATAGAGACACACACACACACACACACACACACACACACACACACACACACACACACACACACACACACACAAACACACCTTCATGTGCAGCTTNGGCCGGCTAAAATAACTGGATGGCCTACCTGCCTGTCAGCCTTCCATCTGTGCACAAACTTATCTCGTGCCCTCATTGGTCATGTGCGCGTTCGTGTGTGTTGGAGGAGGGGCTCTGTAAGGAAGTGGCAGATTTTTTTCCAGCTGTGTATTTTCAAATTCTAACGCACTCGAGTTAGTTTCTCCAAAATTACCTACCCCACCTTTAACCATGCTTTTCTACAGTATAGACACACACACACACACACACACACACACACTCACTCACTCACTCACTCACTCACTCACTCACTCACTCACTCACTCACTCACTCACACATGCAGAATGGTGTGCAGCTTTGTGCCTGACTGTTTGTTTAATCACCCATTCTACCACTCAATCACTTACCCAATAACAACACAGTCAAGGGGGCCCTGAGGCTCCCACAGACAGTTTAATTCTCAAGTACAGTCCATTGTAATCAATTGTTGCAGCTGCTGTCACTGCTGCCCTCCCTACCACGCTGTTCCTACTCTGGTCTTATCTTTCTACAGAGACTGTCAGGAGGAAGGCCCAGCTCCATCAATAGGGCTGATGTAGGACGCTCACCCTCTGCTGTTTTCGCACAAACAGTCACATGTCCAGCTAAAAGTTTGTGTCAGCAAGCTTTCCTTCAATCCTCTATAGTGCTTCCTTCACACTGCAGTCTGTAGGCAACACACACACTCTGCACTGTGTGAGAAGAAAGGCTTGCCACATTCCAGATCTTACAGTTACCATTAAAGACAGTTTATCTCCTGCCCTAACCCTCATTCACACATTTCGCTCCGTGCGCCGCCTCTCTAGAGAGTGATGGAGGTCACAATGAGCCACGAGGGGGAAGGAAGAGGCAGAGAGGGAAATAGAGAACAGGCACGCTATTCCTTTTTTCAATATTTAATAAGGGTATTCGGAAATTAAACTACAAATATCTGTGATACTAAACTGCCCTACAGGAGCAGAAGGGGATTGGGCCCTTAGTAAACCCTCATTTAAGTTTTTCTTTTATTGGCAGAATATTCTATTTTAAACCAATCATGTCACACAATACCTAAAACATGCACATGTTTTACTTTAGAACAATCTGGAAGCACAGAGCTACGAACACAATGTGTCCATTTCAACTAATAACCTTGTACAACAGATTATAGTTTTATAAGTTACATATATTATTTAAATTTAAAAGATTGTTATTGTCCTCATTTCTTTGGTTCTGAATTATTAACATGACATTTATAAAGTATATATTTTTAATTATAGCATACTGTAAGAGACCTTGGGGTAATTGCATTAGCTGAGATTAGCTGCATCCACCTACCCTAGTTAGTTTTATCTACAGGGTTATGACTACGGTAGTTTGAATCTACAACTTGCCACACATGTGTTAGAGACTTACTGTATTTCCTCTGTAAATTGGCCCTAATAATAGCCATAATGCAGTGACTTATATACTGTGGCTTGGCTAAGATTTTAGCAAGTTAAGTCTAAAATATCTAAAAAGTAAATACCATACTTACTCAAAATTAACAATTATGTGTACTGTCAGTTCACTTTGTAAGACTGCTGCAATTATGGTTGTTTTTGGAGAAATGGCATGTTTTCTGTCAAACTAAATGTCATCACGGGCCACATTAGCATTATGGTTGCATTCAAAGGGCTAGTTCTAACTTTAAGACCATATAAATACACATATATAAATATATAATATATATTAAATAATGTATTATTGGCTCTGCATTGGATTATTATCAGTTCTGGTAATAACTTCATAAATAACTAGTCTAGGGCAAATAATTGAAAGCAAATATTCAACAATTACACCAATTGTATTGTATATTATATTATTTGCAAGCTCTTGCGGGCCACATAAAATGAGGCCAAATCCGTCAAACATATAGCTCTCTCAATCTTTCAATAGAAGTTATCATATTGTCCTCACCTGTACTCCAGGGAGAAGCGGGTCAGCTCGGTGTTGTTGTGGATCCATTTGAACTCCAGTGGCCAGCTTCCCTCAGCCATACAGGTCAGAACCAGCCTGTTGCGTTCCAGATGGAGCTGGCTGCGCACCGGCTCCGTCTTGAAGTAGGGAGGCACGTCATCTGTAAATATAGAGCAGAGTTTGCCATTGAAGTGTTGCTTTTGAAGCTACCTCAAAAGCATCCGAATAAAGAACACAGACTCTTAAATCCCACACACATCCATGAAGCCAGAGGCACAAATGTGTGAATAAAAACAAAGTAAAGAATGACAGGACAAAAGAGCGAGAAGATAAGAGGGATAACTCTGAACTCATCTTTCATCCTGATGAGGTAGGCCTAGTAGATGAGGAGCAAACACGGAGTTGTCAAACTACTGAAACGCATGTGAAGGAAAAAACTGGCACAAAGAGGGTTTGTTGATGCTTACAGCTATCTGACTGTAACAGATTGTAGATGGTCAGATGCTGGGATATCACCTAAGACAAAGCAAACTCTGCTGAATTATCTCATCACTGATATGTAAACAGGAAGCTGCCAAACTCCAGATGGAAAACCCTTCCTGGACGTGTCTTATTTGGAGTATGCGAGGCAGTGTTGTTGGGGGATGTTGACTTGGGAGAGTGTCAGAGATGGCTAACAAGGAGGTGGAAGCGGAGGCATCAAGTGGAGAAAGATTGCTCCCGTGTCTCCTTGCTCTGTGTGTGTGTGTGTGTGTGTGTGTGTGTGTGTGTGTGTCAGTAACTCATTGGCACGGGGCACTACTTTCCTCCCAGCTAGACGGAGCAGACAGGAGAGGGGCAAAGCCGAGGAGGAGGCATGAAATCCTTTCATCATTCGTTCGCCTCCACTCCGTTTCGCTCTTTCTGTGTTTCTTCCGCACGCTCTGTTGAGTGTGAAGGAACGGATTGAGGAAGACCAGCGAGAACTTCTCCACAGGGTGATGCACATGCTGAACATGGCAACACACACACAATGACTTTTATATCTCAATCAAACAGCATCACACGCAGTCTGTCAAAGTCCCTCGCGGTTTTCTCACCGTTGATAAATGATGCGAGAATGGAGAGCTTACTTGATGATCATTGTAAATATAGAACACATTAATTGGATGGTTGGATAATATAATTATCAAATTGACTGATAATCAGGCATTGAAATTAAACTGTCAGAATGATCTATAGTGCTCATATTTTGTTCTTCCACCGGTGGTAGACTGATAGGAGGAATAATGAGCGGGGATATAACGAATGAAGGTAGAAAAGAGTGAGAGGGAAAAGATGATTTACAAGCTTTTCACTTTCACTCAACTGAGACTTCTCGATGTATACGACTAATTTGATGACAACATATTTTTGTAATCACACTACCAGTACAGTGTGAGGTATCTTATCACGGAGGTAGACAACAGGGTAAAGCCTACTTGGTTTTTCTGTTCATTATGGTGTCATTTGAAGATGGAGTAGTAGTGGTTGTTAACACTATTCCACTTTTAAAGTATTTGTATTTTAATGTTGGACACGCTCCAACAATACATTCAGAGGCAAATAGTGTACTTTTTACTCCCTCACATTTATTCAACACTCACATTTGCTTTGTACATATAAAGTACATGATACACTGATATGGTAAAATGCAGTAATGTATCTAGATTTAGTCTACATTGACAAACTCCAATAATAAAATGCTCTTACATATTATTGAAGAACACTGAATAGTATTATAACTATAATAATGTAATATTTTGAAAAGATAATTTCTGCATAAAGAATACTTTAACTTTTGAACCTTGAAGTATAATCTGCTGATAATACTTTACTTTATATTATTCCAAAATGAGCCATTGTGCAGAATGAGTATTTTTACTTTTTGTACTTTAAGTACATTTTGTTGCTAATACTTATACTTAGTAACATTTTAAATGCATGCATTTGACTTGGAACAGAGTAATTCCACTGCGGTATCAATACTTTTATTTCCCTTGGAATAAGATGTGAGTATTTCTTTCTCCACTGCAAATAGGTTTATGCTATTAAAGAGCAACACAAACCCGAGCCCCCAAAACAAATAATAACCTTTAAAAATGATAACCTTGTAAAGGCAGAATTTATTACAGAAATATTTGGGAGTTTTATTTATGTGCACTTTCATAACTTGTCTCTCTTTGTGGATTTTTTTTAAGTTACAGTGTGTTGAGAAACCCAATGATATAAAGCTACACACACAATGGTGAATTAGGAGGAACATCAAGAGAAATTAAAAGCATAGAAACAGTATTTGTTTGCGGTTCAAAAGTGCACGACATATCTGTATAAACCAATAATGAATATTCATACATTCCAGCACCTTCTTGTTGCATATTTATGAACAGTACGTTGGTGCATCTGACTTCTGAGCGCTGTGCTAACCCAGAGGCTGGGCATGAATACATATTTATAACAAATAGAAGAAGACAGAGGAGACTTAATAAAGCGCCACACAGTATTGATCCATCTGAATCAACTCACATTACTATTGAGCATTTCAGTTTGAAATTGTGCCCCTTGCCATCCTGATTGCACTGCTCTGTGTAAATCTGATTCCTTTCGCTATAGTCAAACAAGGAGAAAGCCTCCACATTGCGGGAGAAGCTTAAGAGGCTGAGCCAAAACACAGACACGGCTAATCAGAAAGTCACACTGTGATGTGAACAAGTCTATGTTAGTGCAAAGATTGAATATGGAATGAACCAAAAGGAAAGGAAAAACTTAGGTTAAGTGATTGAAGAACAAAACAAAGTGAAAGTGAATTGTGAGAGGAGCATAGCATACAGGGGGCTTAATAGATTCAAACTACAGATAAAATGTAAAACAGACTCAGAGGAAGCTTAAGAGTTGGAGTGCCTTGGCATCTCTCAAAGCAGTGTGGGTTAATACTATGCCTGGCACAGAGGAAGATAGACTGCAAAAATGAGGGAAGATTGAGATGTGCAATAGTGATTTGAGATGGCCGAGACTAATTATTCCCTGGCGATGTGCTTTTATCTACGATGGGGAGATAAAAGAGAATGAGGGGGGAGGCAAATGAGAGGAAGGGGAAGAGAGGGAGAAAGGGGTATGCTAAAAAAAACACTAGCATGCGTACCGTGCTATACCCATACACAGATACTTGATTATCAGCAGGAAGGTGTGAGGCCAAAGAAAACATTGATCATTGATGTGTATCTACAATAGTCCTTCCCAACAGGAAGTAAATAAGCGCTCACCAGTGATATCTATCTGAGGAATCAGCTCACGCAGCAGGAGAACAACTCATGTGGGGACGCAGCTAATGCAATTAATGATCATTTTCATTGAAGGTACATTACTATTGCTCCATTAAAAAACAAATTGTTTGTTTGCTAAAAGCCTAGATTTTGAAGCAAAACAGGTTTAAAAAAAAACAAAACACTGCTACTACTATTAAAGTAGTAGTAGTAGCAGTAGCAATGGTAAATTGTTTTATATGAACAATGGATCTATATATTTTTTGTTAAACTCAAAATGTTAACACTAAAACAGTACTATGCAACTTCTATGGAGTGTTTTAAACTCTCTGCTCATTGTTTTGGTTATACAGCCAGCAGCTATTGTTTTTGGTTTGTTGCTTGCAACAACTCATTTGAAGCTGCAGCCCAAAACTATTTTAAGCAAAACAGCCACAGTACTTTACCTGTCTAGCAAACATCAGACCAATGAGTGACCATATATTTCCCTGAGCCATTGTAGAACCTAAAGCAACGCTATACGTTTAATAAGGGTATGTCAAATGTGTGTTTAAATATTGCAATATTGCCCCAAAGTGACTAAAGAATCCCCAATTATCTCAGAAATCTTGAAGTCACCTATTTTAGCCTATACTGTACTAGGGCTGTGCAATTAATCGTATTTTAATCGCAATTACGATTTTGGCCTGCCACAATTACGTAAACAACATAATCGAAAAAAACGATTATTTTGCCTTGCTAGGTTGTGACAGTGCACTGCAACATATTTGATCTAATTTATTTGAGTCTAATTTATTTTTATTTATCATATTTATATATGTTTAGTAGCTTGTGGGAGTGCGCTCCAAAATATTTGTTGATCTTTTATATTGGTATTTATTATTTTGATATTATTTATTTAAATGTGAATATAAATGTATCGTTTATTTTTGTATTGGTTTTTCGGTTGAATTATACGTTCAGGATCAACAGTTCAAATGAGACGGTTCAAATTATTATTTGTATTGTTTTAAAGTTCAACAAATGGATGTTTTCAAAGTCAATGAATAATCGTATTTAATAATCCTGATATCAATTATTGACCAAAATAATAGTGATTATGATTTTTGCCATAATCGAGCAGCCCTATATATATATACACCCTAAAGCAAAGATAGGTGTGCTAGAAGCTAGCTTGATGCTAACAACAATTACACACTTGTGTCTATTGACACCAGATTAAGCTAGTTTACATGGTCCAACTTTAGCCACTCACAAACAATGAGTAACAAATTCGCCCCTCTTCTCTCAAAGTGAAAAACAATTAAGTTGGAAAACATTAACAACTTGTGCTTACAACTCTACGGTGTTTTGCGAAAGGTAAATACCTTTTATGAGGCGAAAAATAGTGACGTGAAGCTCCAGCTTTCACTTGTTGAGTGAGGTAGAGGAGCGCCGAGTTCCCCCTTGTGGATCCCGAGGCATTACCAACAGATCGACGCACAATTAACCCACACAGATAAATCAAGTTAGCATCACTAGCTATACATTAATCAAACTTGCCAGCACTACAACATATTTAACTGTAACTGAAATTAAATAATATGTTGTGAAAATGGATACTTTAACAATACTGTAATGATCTGTTTTTTTTTTAAGTAAGTTTGTCCCAAATTATTTGTAATTATAGCCTATAGGCCTATCACACAATAAGACAGATGCAGTGTATAATGTGAATAACTTATGTCACCACCATCCTCAATCACCAAAGATGTATTATTCACTTCCAATGAATGCAAACACAAACTCAACCCAACTCCAGCTACAGCTACTGTATGATGATGTGTGCTTCCTGTGCAATACAAAGCAATTATTGTGTGAGCGAGGCCCCTCATT